TCACGGAAACCTCTGGAAGACCATGGCATTGTGAAAGCATTAATGGAATTCGTTTACCAAAAAATGTAAACATTGCATGAATATACAGCCTCATGCTACACAATTAAAAACTAACCCTTATTTCATGATGAATAACCTTTGGACTATAATCCATCTTAAATAGAAAACTATCTTTAAGATATTTTGTCAAAAAGCATTCCATTGTAAAGAGTCCAATTTAAATTTTAAAAATCTGTTTGTTTGTTTGTTTGTTTTAATCATTGAAGTTTATCTACCCTGGGAGCAAGTTTATGTCTAAAATATGACTATTCCACTGTTTTGAAGAAGACAACTTCAGTGAAAGAGTTGAATTCAACTGAAATAAATGATTGATTGTCAGCATATCATACACAGTTCTTGGAGTTGTTAAATTTGATTAATGCTACCTTTCACAATCAGGTACCCTCCAGGTGTGATGGACCACAACTCCCAGTATCCACAACTAGCCATGCTAAGTAAGAAATGTAATCCAGCGTATGTGGAGGAAACCTGGTTGGGGAAGGATGAATTAGTATATTAACAGTTTTCAATATTTTTGCATCCTATTGTTTTTACAGTTTTATAAGTATTCCAATAAAACAAAGTCTACGTAGCATAACACTGAAACCACAGTAAATATGCTTTCATATCTTCTCTACCCCCAACAAATATTTGAGGGGAAATTCTTGGGATAAAAAACTATTATGTAGTATTTTTAAAAACTTTGTTAGTTACTTTACTTCTACTTTGTAAATATGCTAAATTAGATCTCTCCCTAGTGATTTTCCAATGCAAACTAAACATCCCCCAGTAGAAACTGAAAAATTCCAATGCAAATAACCACATGTAAATTATCCTAATTTGCATAGAGAATTTTCCCCTTCAGTTTTTTGGAAAGTCCACATTACTGCTTCTGACTAGACTTGTATAGGTACTGTAAGGCAGAGCTGGAACCCAGGATAGTCTTGTATGAAGTCAAACTCCATAGATTTTGCAGATTGTAGATTCTGTTCTTCACAGCAGGGCTGAAGCACTTGTGTCCCTCCAAATGCTACATTCCAAGTTAGTATGACCTATGGGCATTAATGCCAGGAGCAGTAACACCTGGAAAACCCCAGTTTTGTGGGCTTGGGTTTTGTTGATACTTTATGGTTATGTTTGTGGTTGTTTTAAATTTGTTGTTTTATCCAAAAGAAGATTTATTGAGACACACCCCACAATATGTAGCAGCCGCAAAAGCCAGCACCTCACTTTCAGTAGCATGTTGCAAACTGCATGACGTCCTCACACACCCAGTGACTTCTGAAGTGAGAAAGGCAGAGACAGCTGAAATATCACAATAAAATGCTAGGGATTCAAAACAAAGAACAAAACAAAGAAGGAGATTTATGCAAAGTATTATGAGATCATTCAGACACATGTGTAGATTTTGGCATCAGAAACAATTCCACCAGAGCGTAACCATGAAGAACTGAAATTATTCAAATCAGGATCAGACGGGGAGGTTTCAAAGATGAGAATTCATGGTCACCTCATTGCATAAAATGCCTTTACAGTGTTTGTCTTATCTTTTACCCTTACAACAGTTTCATAAATGAGGAAACTGGGGAATCATCACTTGGACCAACCAAGTGAGGAATATCTACCCTTAAGAATGAAGTGGTAGAATCCTGAGGCTGTTCAGCTTCAAGCTCAGATTAAAACATTGTATGTTTAAGTTTTTAGGGTCAAATCCTCACAAAGCAGTCTCTAGTGCTTTAAAACACCATTGTTTAAATTTAACCATATACAATTTGGTTAAGAATACTTTATCAATTTTTAAAGCTGTTTCAATAATACCAAGACACCCCCCCCCCATTAAAAGCATTCCTATAAATTTTTAAAAAATACAAATCAGGGAGGCAGGCTCTATCCTAACCCAGTTACTACATATCTGCCTGCAAGGAGATATTTGGGTTGGTTTTAAGATTGAGAACCACTTACAGATCTTGTTATATCAAGCAGTAATAAAAGTATTATAATTATAATAAATGAATGAATTTAGGAGAGGGCTCAGTACTGCTTTTACCATCTAAAATAGTAGGTCTGTTCAGGATTCTTCTCATTCTTACTTCATTCAGCCAGTACTCTATTCACAAAAAGAAAATTTTTTTACTCATATTAAATCACTACCCAGTCACCTACTGAAAACCTTGTCTTTTAACTCAAGCTGGTAAAAAGCTACTCACCTATGCAGTCTAATTTATACAGTTGATTTACCTGATGGCATCCTAAATACAGTAACCTAAGTATGAAAAAGAAACTGGCTGAAGGGTTTTAAATGCAAGTCTCCCTCTAGGTGTGACCCCCTATACTACATGGGCATTTCAGAATGGCCACTAACCCAGTGATGGAGTTGAATGAATGGCTGAATCCAAAGCAGAGAGTACCTAGTCCAGCTCTCCTCCTCCTCCTCCTCCTCCTCCTCCTCATCCAGGTGCCTTTGCTTCTCAAGACATAGAACAAACCACCTTCCCAATCTGGTATTTGGAATGCAATTCCCATCAGATGATGGGAACTATGATCCAAATTCACGTGGCAGGTGCCAGGTTGGGGAGGGTCAGCTTGCATACACTCTCTCTGCTTCAGCACCAATCTGTAAAGTGCGCTTCCTTTAAACTTAAAAAGAGGGATTTCCTATAAACACTTGGCAAAAGTGATTTTCTGAAATGAAGCAGATTGAAATTGTTTAAATGCAAAGGGTTGTTATTTATTTACACAAAAATATCTGAGCCTCTCACATGCTGCAAAGGAGAAAAGCATAACTGCTGGAAACGTGGGATAAAATATAAAAGGGGTATTTTGACAGTGGACACACCTAACTAAGATAGCTTTAACACCAAATGTGCTTTTAGGGCACAGTTATATGCACCTTTAGAAGGAAATTAATCCTCAACTCCCAGCATGCTGGTTGGGACACCCTGAGAATTGTCGGGCATTTTCGGTCTAAACATGCATAGAACTGAACCCTTAATGTCACAGGTGAGAATACCATCTTACCTATGTTGGCTAGAACAGGAGTAGGCAATGCAGTCCCAACTCCCACAAGCCTTGACAATGTGCCATGTTGGCTAAGGCTTATGGTATATGTAATTCAAACGATTTTGAGACTGCCAAGTTTCCAACCCCAGGGCTTGAATTTACACTGAAAATTTAAAGCACTCTCTTCTGCTTGGTGCACAAATTCACATTTCCATGGAAATAACACAGGAGAGGTACCCTAAAGGTGTTTTCCATCACTGCAGGTGCATAAAAGCATCTTTTGAGGCATTTACAGTAAAAGGTTTCTCATCAGAAAAAGCAAGAAATCAAGCCACCTTAAGCTTAGCTCCCATTGTCCAAGTGGAAAGACACGTGAGCTGTCAACATACACACTAAGATGACAGTTTACGACTCTCCATTTTCTTAACCAAGGGGAAGGGTTGAAACCCCTTATCCTTAACATCCTGTATCAGTGCTTGTCATTAAGGGCATAATATGCAGAATTTTTTTTTTTGTTTAGGCAGAAAAAAGAAGTCTTAAAACTCCCCATGCTAGCTGGGGCATGCTGGGAACAGGAGGGTTTTTTCTGTCTAAATATACACAGGATTGTGCTCTAAGGCCCCTCCCCAGAATGAAGATCACACAGTCTTTTTACCATCAGTCTGAACATGTGGCTAGACAATTTCATTTCGTTTCCAGCTCCCCCCCCCCCACTTCCCTTTATTTAAGCATGGTAAGGCGGGGCTGGGGAAGAGGCCCAAGGCAGTTACGAGACGATGGCGAAACTTAACCGATTTTCTAAATTCCTGGAACTTTCTCTTGAACCGTTTGGGAGGCATCACCCACAAACGAGCTTTAATTAAGTGTGTGTGGGGTGGGGGGGGGCGGACAGAGGGAACCCACTGCGGTCAAAGATGAAAATGAAGGCGAAGTCTACATGCGCCAGCCTCGAGGGAATTTCATTCCCTACCAAAGCACACTCTCCCTGGATGGAGGGGGTCCTCCTCAAGCGTCCCCCTCCAAGCACCACTGCTCAACAGCTGCGGCTCACGCAACACTCCCTCGCTCTCTCTTTTCCAGCCCCGTCCCGTCCCCCCTCTGGCCCGCACCCCGGTCATGGCGAGCAAGAAAAGATTCCCACTGCACGAGAAACTGAGGCAGTAGCGGCGCTATCGGCTCGGTGGCAAAGGCACAGCCTGATCGCCGGCTGCTAGGAAACTGCCGGTCACAAACCCCATTACAACTCCTCGCTCAGAGGATCAAGCAGCCTCTATTTACAGGACTGAAGAGCTGGGTCCCTACTTCGAAGTCAACCCCACGCAGTTCGGCAGGACTTGATTCTAGGTAAGCGAGTATAGGATCGCAACTTAACACACTCTTTGGACTTTTGTGGGAATTCCCACCCCTTTGGGAAACTCGAGATTTCTTCAAATGCTGACTCGGCTTAAAGAGCGATGTTGATAGGAGGAACCGAAAAATCCGACATGGGATTACATCATCCACAGCCCCCTTCCCTTAAGAGAAAGAAGAAAGCGAGAAAGAACTTTCCAATGGTGACTAAGTAGAGAACTTCTTACAGGCCATAAAACAGCGCCCCCGTTGTAACTTCTATCATTGTGTGGGGATTAAACTAGACACAATACCCACGGCGATCAACCGCCCCCGAGAGACAGACGTCACGCACTAACACGGAACAAGTTTTATTGTTCTACACTGGTCCATCTAGAATAGGCAAGATCTAGAAACGCCCCTTCCAGCAGGCCTTAAAAAACCCGATCCTAAAGGTGTTGATTTCGAGGCAAGTCTCGCGCACTTTCAGGACTGCAGTCTAATAGAAATTTAACTTTCTGCATTACTCCCAGAGCACTTACAAAAACTTTGCTTTTAAAAGGCAGATAGTAACAGTAAATGGCCGCAGAAGAGAATAAAGAAGTAACAGATCCACTTCGGATCAACCTTACCTTCAGAGCAAACTTGTCTCCTGTTTTCCTGTTAAAGATTTCCAAAACTTTCCCATTAATCCCCAGCCCCAGCACTTGCGTGGTGACCTTGTAATCGTCCGTGATGGCATTTTTCTTGATCGGGAGGACGGACTTGATGTGGAACTGGGGGAACTGCTGTTGTTGCTGGGCCAATTGTTGCTGCGGTGGCGGCGGCGGCTGAAGCGGCGGTGGGGGAGGAGGCGGCGGGTTGGGGAAAAGTACCTGCGGGTTCTGATTCTGAGAGTTGGACAGCATCGTCCTGTCCACAGCCGAGGCAGCCAAGGGCAGATCCCTCCCTGTCCGCCTCGCCCCTCCTCCCCCTCCTCCTCGCTTGTTTTCTCCGACGATGGGAAGTTTACGCAGAAGAGCCCCGCACCAAAACTCAGTGTTTCGCCGCTTCTCGGTTGCTTCGTGACGCGATCTTTCTTCTTTGTTAAGAAGCAGGCAGCCTGGTCCGAAGTGCCGATCGGTCTCCACTGGAGTCTGTCCAGAACCAGCGGGCGCCCCGGCGGAGAAGAGCCCCCTCCCGCACAAACCCCGGCTCGGCCTCGGCTGCCTGGCCGCCGACTCTTTCGAACCGCGGAGACAGGAAAAGGAATCGCTACAATGTATCAATCTCGTTCCTTCCCTGGTCGGCGTCCCCCTGCGCTGATGTCACAGCCTCGCGTTGAGTGGCTGCGCCGGGTGGAGAGGAGGAGCCCGAGGCGGGGCCAGGCCGGGGAGGCGGGGCCAGACGCGGTGGGTGGGGGTGGGGGAGGGGAAGGAGGGGGCGCAGTGGAAGCCTTTGAAGAACGGGGGAAGATCGGAGGGAGAGAGGCGGGGCGGGGAGAGAAAGTTGGCTGGAGAGTTTCAAGGAATTGGTTCTCTGACACGTCTGCTTTTCTTTTGAGGCTTTGCTGGTTGAACAGTTTCTGTTTTCCGAGCACGTCCAGCCTCAAGAAGAGCTCTGCGTGACTAGCAAGCTTGCTTACCTTGCTTTTAAACAGTGGGGAGAACCAAAGCACTGGCTCCTCCAGATGTGGCGAGTGATCAGCTATGGGCGGAATTCACCAGTCATATATGGACTGTACTCGGAAGAAACACTCATAGAATCATACAATAGTAGAGTTGGAAGGGGCCATGAAGGCCATCTGGTCCAATCCCCTGCTGTTGCAGGACACGCCATTTCTTGTATTGGAACTATATATAACAACTGGATAATTTCATTTTGGATTTTTCAAACTAGACTTTTAGGAACATTTTTTTCCTTAAAACAAACACTTCAAGGTTTGGGGTTTTGACTTCAGGTCTTTGATTTGTATTCAATGTTAGCAAAGCAAAACAAAAG